CAGTTTCAAAACGTAAAGGACCCGCTCTTTGATGCCATACCGTGGTGCTGCGCAGGTGTGTCGCCATTATGCTGACCTGCCCCCCCTGACCTTGGATGGCATCAAAGAGCGGGTCCTTTACGTTTTGAAACTGTACGATAAGATAGATCCGGAAAAGGTAACTTTGGGCTGGTGGTTTTGCTTTCTGGAGCCCCAGAAACAAGCTCAGCCTTTGAATGCAAGGTTCAGGTGCACCTTCTCTGGGTTGGTGGCCATCCCAACAGGCCATGCACAGTATGGCTGTACTGGCACTCTGGTGGATAAAGGCAGGAGAGTGGATTTGATCGTGTTGACATGCAGAGGCAAGACGGAAGCAGGGAATGAGCAGTGGGATGGTCATTGTCATTTTAAAAGAATGTAGTGACGTTTCCGTGTCAGAAAGGGAGGTTCAGGATCTCTTCTCAGTCATCCCAGAGTGTGGGGTGCCAAATAATGGGCTTAAGCTACAGGAAATTGGAATCCAGGTGGACATCAGGAAAAACTCCCTGACTGTTAGAGAGATGGAAATAATGACCTAGGGAGGCCAAGGGTTTTCCTACACTAGAGGCATTCAAGAGGGAATTGGACAGCCCTCTGCCAGAGATGCTTTAAATGGAGGCTTGCACTGGGCAGAGGTTGGACGCCATGATTTCGTAGTCCCCTTCCAACTGTACCATTCTGTGAATCTGTATTTTGATTGTGTACTTCTCAATAGAATAAATGTCAATATGATGGGGGTTAGAAGGACCAAATCACATCTCCAGCATGTGTGAAAGAGAACACCATGCAGGAAAACCTGTGTTGCTCTGAGGACGGTCACTCCTGCATTCATGCCCTGCTGGTTTCCGTCCTTTCAGGGCTGTTGCAATGATGATTAAACAAACCCAGTTTGTTATGCTGTGCCTCAGAATTTCCTCTGTTCTCTTCCAGCTCTCAGCAGATTCCCACTTCATGAAAGATCTGGGCCTGGACAGCTTGGACCAAGTGGAGATCATCATGGCGATGGAAGATGAATTTGGTAATCTCTTCATGTGCTGTTAGTTTGCAAGACGTGTCTGCAGCCGCAGTGTCTGTATGCATCAGTTTTTAATCTCAAGTGGATTTGAGATTACTGGGACTGTTCTGTTCTATAGCCTACCTTCCTGCTCTTGCCAAGAACCCAAGGCAGCTTCCATAATTTTGCTCCTCTCCATTTTCTCCAGCCCTGTGAGGTAGCTTGTTTTCTAGCTTCTCTAGCTAGCTACAGATCATGCCTTGGATGAGTCAGCTAGCCAAGGCACTCCGACAGACAGCATCTTAGCTAAGCCTCAGGAAAAGGCACAACCTGCTGCCAGAGCCGAATCTGGAACTTGTGGGTAAAGTGTGGGCTCTGCCCCATCACAGTCCTTACACTTGTATAAGGGAGATCATCTTTGCAGAACCCAGTTTACTGATCCTGAAAGAAGGGACCTCCTTGATTTTTTGGGAAGTGCGCTAAGTCTTCCAGTTGATATTGTGCTGAGACTTGTGTCAACTCTTGACTGAATGGTCCTAATCTTTTCCAGGATTTGAAATTCCTGATGTGGATGCAGAGAAGCTGATGTGTCCGCAAGAGATTGTCGATTATATTGCTGATAAGAAAGATGTGTATGAATAAGCGTTTCTTGCAAGCCGAGTAAGTATGCGTGCAACAGTCCTGCTGGCAAAGCGGAGTGGCTTGTGTTCCAAGAGCATCTGGTGCAGAGCCTGGCAGGGGAAGCAGAGGGTGGCTGGAGTCCTGGGCTCCTTGCATATCTCCCTCCTGTGAGGCGGCTGGGTTCTGATCCAGCAGAGATGGAAATCTGGCAGAGCGGCGCGGCCCCTGTGGAAGCTTCCTTGGTGTATGGGCGTGGCTCGTGTTTGAGCTGTGGAAGAAGGGGGGCATTTTGCCTCACCATCAAGTGCGGGGCAGCAAGTGAGACCTCCCTTTCCTTGTTCAGGGAGCGAGTGCTTCTGGCACGTGCAGCCAGGCCGGAAAAGCTCTGCGGGCCTGTGTGAAGGGACCGCTTTCTCTCACAGCCCTCGCTATGGAAGCCAGAGAGCCTTCAGGGTACTGGGCAATATAAGAGCAAAATAAGTAAGACTGGGTGTAGTCTGGCTGGTCAAGCTGGCCCAGTAACGAGCACGTTTTACCAGTACACAGTAATGCTAGGAGCTCTGCTGCGAAGTCATGGAGTGTCCTAGTAAAACCAGCGCTTTTCCTGAAAGGGGAGCTTTTACTGACAGGGTGAAATAGGGGGCAGATGGCTGGATGAAGTACCAGAAGGGAGTGAAGGGAGAAATGAGGTGGTGCTGCAATTTTGGGCTGAGGGGAAGCAGTGGGGGTCCCTTTGAAGCTAGGCAACTTAGGCATTGTTGCACTTGCCTGACTCTTACGATTTGTCTGTAACAGGCAAGAGGAAGAGGAAGCAGTCAGGAAAGGAATGCCATTTGGTGTTCAGGGGCTGCCCTGTGGCTTTTCCGGGCTGGGTTGTGGTGAGTGGGAAGCCGCATGCAAGCCGAGCTTTCCCGGCCTGGCGGAGCAGGGTAGCTGTCCCCTGCCCGGGGGCAGGCCAAAGCCCAGTAAACCCCTGCGCAGAGCAGCCCCCGGTGTGCATGTGCGCATTTTAAAGGCGAGCGTCATTTCTCCATGCGCTTCTGCAGTTTTCAACGTGCGCTTCTCCTTCCCATCCTCTCCCTTTCACAGGCACTTCTGTTCCTCCCCGAGGGCTCTGATGGTGGACGCAGCAAGGGGGACAGTGCCAGGCGAGTCCCTGTGCTGTAGCGAATCACTGTTGCTCTCAGATGAGCAGTTCTGTTGGCTGCTGTATGTAAAGCTGTATAAATATGTGTTGGCCTTCAAAATAAATCATTCATGCCGACTCCTCCGTGCTGCTCTGCAAACGTGTTCCAAGCAGTCGTGCATCAGCATCTCGGCTTCTTTGGGCTGCACTAGCTGGATGTGGTTTGCGCCTTGGCCGAGTGGTGGCTGGTCTTCTGGCCACCCCCTCGGAGGCAGTGTGGTCTCCCAGCCGGCAGCAGTGAGGGAGGGCCTCGTGCCTCATCCCACTGTGTGTAGTGGGGCCCACGGAAGATGCACAGGACTGCCCGATGGGGGGCAGCGTGGCCTGGGCCCTGCCCCGTCACCCGAGAACCTGAGCTGGCAAAGCACCCTTGGTGGCTCACGGCCTTTTCTCTGCACATTTTACTTGCCTCTCAAGGGTCATGTGGACAGTTTTAAATGTCCAGCACCATTTAGATCCGTATTTTTGTATCCCAGCTTGCCAAGGAAACACCCACGTTACCTTGCATGGGTCACCCATGGAAAAGGCAGGCGCCTACGGGCCTGAACAGAGGCTTGGTCAGCTCAGATCGAACCCCAACAAGCTCTGCATGCCAGACAGAACTCTTGCTGTGGGGGTTGGGGGTGAATTGAGGCAACCCTTTAGTTTCAGAGCAAGACAGAAAAAAGCACAAGGAACTTTTTTGGGGGGGGGGCAGTTCCAATACCGAGGCAGCCCTGATCTCCCATTCAAACCCCGGCATATTTCTTCCTAGCCCTGCCTGTGCCAGGGCCTGTTTCTCCTCCGCACTGTGGCGCTACAATGCTTCCGCCCCAGCTCCTTGACCCAGTGTGCGCCACTGTGAAATGTGGACGTTTGCCACAGCAGTGGCCTCCCAAGTTGGAGCCGGTGAGCTCACAGGGAGTCTTGAGTCACAGCACGCCCATTTCTTAGAAGGCAAATTGGTGAGGCGAAAAGAAGGCTGGCACAGGAACCTGAGTCCCGGACAGGTGAGGCCTGAGCTGCAATACCCAGGAGTGCTCTTTTGAGGCCATCAGCTGCAGCACCCATTTTACAGAAGGGAACTGACACTGCCTGCAGAAAGACGCCGGCAGAACAGCTCTACACCTGCAAAAAAGTCTTTTGGCAGGACAGAGGCCCCACCACCAAGAGGCATCCTAGGCCAAGCATTCAACACCTTCAGCACCTCAAGAGTGAAGGATACGCACTGCCATTCTCCCGCTGGCTTTTTGAGGGCCTGCCTGAGCGCACGTCAACATGAGAGTTGCTTGCAGGCACTATATTCCATCGGACGCCTCCGCAGCCTGGGTTCCCAGGGAGGCCAAGATGTTGCAGAAACCCAGCTTTTTCCAAAATACGCCCCCCCCCCATTATAATTACTGTTACTTGCTGGCTGGCTCTAGTATTTTGGTGTTTGCCCGTTGGTAGAGGGGGTGGGTGCCCTTTCACAGACTAGGTCCTCTCAGCTTCTTGAGCGCACAGCAGTGGCTGCACCTGACCCAGCACAAAACTCTGCCTGAGAGAGAACGGAGCTGGTCTGCTCTGAGCAGCTGGACAGGCGGCTTTCTGCTGCAGTGCTATCAAGCAGTCAGACTCAGCCGCCGCTTAAACCTCCGTGGACGCTGCTTGGAGGTGGAACTGCAAGCCCTTGGGCAAGCTAATCCAGTGGTGATGGCCGCTGCTGAACCCAAATGGTCATCAACCATCAGTTCACCTGCCTGGTGGGTCTCAAGAGGCCAATTTTGGTTCGGTGATGGACAGAGGAGCTTCAAAGCAACGGCAGGCAATTCTGAGAGGAGTGCAGGGCTGGCATCCCATGGTGAAAAGCCACACCCATCTGGGAAGTTGTGTGGTGCTTAGCTGCAGGACTGCCTCAAATAGGGCAGAAAAGTTGACCAGGAGGCGGCCACAGAAGCAGCAATTCTTTTCTTTAAATAGCTGCACTTGGAAGTATTAAAGGCCAGTGTTTAAAAAAGATTACCTCCTTTTCTGTAGATTTGCAAGCATGCTTCTGCAATCTGAACTGCCTGTAAAGGGAAAAGAGCTTGTCACCAGAGCTAAGAGAGTTCAAACAGATCCAACCATGCCCTGCAGCTAACTGAAAGATGGACACCAGAGCTGTGGTAAGCAGCCAAAATGTCATGATTTATTAGTATCTGGAGGAACTTCATAATTCGAGCACAATCCAAACTGTACATTTTACCATCACACTCTATTTGTAAACAGTTAAAAAGCCACTGACGACTTTTGCATCTTCAGACACAACAGTTAGAATCAAGGCAATGAAATGAGAGCATCTTTCGGCACAATTAAAAGGGTTTTTTTATCCTTGTTTAGTCTTTCATCCTCTAACTAAACAAGCATCAGGTAATAATACCATTTGTGGCAAAAAAGAGGAAGATGATTTAACACTTTCACAAGAAAAGTATTTGCAAGAACTTTAAACATTTAAAATTTATACAACAAAATTCTGTAAGTCCAAGTCCTTGGTTACAGTCTGCATAGTTACTTCAGCTTGAAGGTTAAACATGGAACACAGTCACAAGACCAGGAAGAGCAGAATGGGGGGAGGTGGGTGCGAGAGGGCAGATTTTGCAAAACAGGGAAGAAACTACCGATTGAGAGCCAAGCATGACCCTTCCCACCCCACATTATTAAAAAGACAGCATCAGAAAGCAAATGATGGCAACTCCAGCGTTTTGAAGCAATTTTTGGCAGAAGTTTTACAGAGCAAGTATTAATCAGTGCTAAAGGTATGTTCCTATAAGAAACTACAAGGAGTTTTACTGGGGATCTTGGTTTTCCTGAGAGCCATGCTCTTAGATTTAGGAGGTGGGAATAGAAAAACACAAATGGAACATGGCCAAACACTGCTCGTTTTTTCCCAGAGATAGAAAGCATCTTTATCATCCACATTTTTTGTTTCTAAAAAATATTTAAGTGATGGAAGAGTAAACATTGTTTCTCAAAACAAAGAAAGAAGGAAAAATTCTGTAAACAAGGCAGCGCCCCAACGCAGGAGGCTCTGAAAAGAACCAAACGAAAACAAAACCTATGGAAAGTGCAAGACCCGGCCCTGGCAGGCGGGCTGGGCTGCAAGTCACAGCTGTGCGTGCAGTTTCAAAAACCGCAGAGCGCCATTCTTTAGTTTAATTCCACATGAACAAACAGGTGCAACACTTTTTCATTCACAATCCTAAGTTAGTCGTCTCACTCGATTGTTTGGCGCCGCAGGGCTGCCACTTCACTGCTGGTGGCTGGCCAGGCAAGAGGACAGCAAGGCATAGGGGCACACCCTGGTCCGAAGCAAGGAACACGTGTCGGTCCTCTAGGAAAAGAGCTGCCACCGCCGCCACCTCGAATATTGCGGGAGGGGAGAAAGGGCAGAGTCTGTGCAAAGCTATACAAGCTCAAACTCCAACATCGGCATGTTGCAAAGAAAGAAAAAGTCACACGTAGGAGCAAGCCAATCCTGCGCAGGGCTGTCTGTTGGCTTGCCTATCTGCTGTATAACACTATCTGGAAGTGTACATCCATAACGTTTCACATTATAACATTGGCCTGCATGATTCAAGTATTCAAACTGGCATGTTTTGGGCTAGATCAAAGTGGAGACATGTGCACAACGTAACCTTTTCCACAGGTGAAGGCTGTGGGTGGGAGCAGTCCGGCCCGGCGCGCTTGCTTTGAGGTCGCACTTCATTCACCGGGGGGGGGGGGGCGCAGTGCTCACAGGGACTCCCCACCCGGCCCCAGGTGGTCTACGGAGAGGAATGCGTGGAGGGGGGACGGGCTGCTTGGGCCCCCGGCCTCGCTGCTCCCCAGGGAGCCCCACAGGCTTGTGGAATAGCTTGGGCTGCCCCAGAGGGATGCGTCGTGGAGGTCCCCGCCACTCGTCCCCGCCAGCCCAGCCCCGTTCCAGTGAGTGTTCAGGTCGCTGCGATGGGAGAACGCGCGGGAGCCATCCAGGGATCCTGGGCGGTTCTGGCCAGCGCCCAGGGACTGCCAGGCCGGGGAAGGGGTCAGAGACGGGCCTTGTGCAAAAAAGCGGCTGATCTCCTCTTCGCTGGCAAACTCTGCAAGAATTGTAGTGTTCCCTAGGACGCACCTGTCCGGAGACAGACAGACAGACAGACAGACAGACGTGCCGCAGAAGGGTGAGAAGGAGCCCGCCAAAGCACACAGTCACATCCCGAACCCCCCAACCCTGCACCACCCTCGCTCAAGGCACTGAGAGAGGCCACTGGGCCCCTGCTCTCTTCCGGCCCTGGTCCACCAGAAACCGCAACTCCTGGGCTGCCCTGGCCCGGCTGCACATGAACATGCTAAGCGGCTGCCCCCTCCAAGGCCGCGCTGCTGTGGCCACATTCCAGAAAGGAATCCGGGGGAAGGAGGGACAGAAGGCACCAGCCATTCGCATCCCGGACCGGAAGCACATTGCCACATTTCTGCCGCCCACAGTCCAGTTTTACCACAGCTTCTCTCTGCAAGGAAGCCATCGGCTAAGGAACGTGCAGGCCGCACCTGCAGGGGCAAAGCGTACCCCAGGCGTCCAAAGGAGCTCTCGGCACTCCAGACCCCTCCGCCCGGGCACAGGGCCCACATTTGCTGCTCCGAGCTCAAGGACGCGCCGACTTCGCGGTCATACATACATGTGGAGAGACTTCTGTGCCTTCATCACCTCCTCCTTCGAACCGTACTGGACCAGAGCATTGCCGCAGGGGAGATTCAGGTGGAATGTCTTCAGCGGTCCGTGCTGCATGCAGAGGGTCCGCAGGGTGGAGCCGTCGATCTGCAACCCAACACGGGAACCTGAGCTGGGCGTGTGTGGGACGCGAGGCCCGCGGCCCCATGGGAGCGGCAGCCTCGCTCCCCAGGCACACCTCCCCGCCTGCCACTCAACCCACCTGAGGCGTGAGGTTCTTCAGGACAAGACAGTTGGTTATTCTCCCTGAGCTGCTCTCGCCCCAGCTGGCCCCTACGGGATACAGGACAGAAGATGGAAGGCCCAGGTCCGTGGCTGCCAGAGGGCGCGTCTACACAGCGCGGCCGGGGGCTTGAAGGCCCCCTTGCCACCCACGCCAGGTTGGGTGAGGGTGAGGGTCTCTGTGGAGGACATGGCCTGCTTAGCGCTGGGGCATCTGGGAGGGGAAGCTGCCTGTTCCAAAACAAAGCGCCTCAATCGCCCGCTCTTCCCAGGACGCCTCGCACACCGCTTCCAGTCCATGGGGAGTCCCCACTGGGGCAGAAGGCCTCCGGGGCACGTGCTGGGCTTGGGAGCCCCCGGCAGTGTTCGCCCGCATGCCCTGTCACCAGGCCTCGCGCACACGCGTGCTCCAGGGCACAAGCGCCCGGTCAGCCCCATGCGCCTCCAGCCACCCAGGCGCTTTGCGTGGCTGTTGCACCCCCAAGCTGGCCCCACAGCACCGTGGCGGCATCTGCCACAAGGGCAATGGGCTGGTGCTGGGGAGAAGCTGCTCGGTTGCCTTTCCAGAGTGCCTCCCGCAAGCTCCGGGTGGCGCCACGAGGCAGGGAGGGCCCTTACCAGGGGTGTAGCCAGCGTCCGAATTGCTCCAGCCTCCCCCGAGCCGCACGCAGTTATCCCACGCAGACAGCGACAGCTTCTGGCCAGTCAGCCCTGGCGGCGGGCGCGACGGGGCAGCCATGCTCTTGGGGGGCAAAGGAACCTTCCACAGCTCATGAGCCAAAGAGGAGTTGTTGATGGAAGCAGGAGACCACGTTGATTTGGAGTCACTGTTTCTGGCTGGGAGACGGGAAAGCTGGACATGAAGCAGGGGCGGGGCGGGGGGGGGGGGACCCACGCTGGCTGCCAGACCGCCTGCTCCGCCCCGACCGATCTGGCCCCCAGAGCGACTGCCGCCCGGCCCCTTCCAGCCAGCACCGCCCGCGCCCCGCAAGGCCAGGATGAGCCACCTGCCCTCCGTGACGCTGGCCTCACCTGAAGAAGTGCTTTGTGCTGTACTGGTGAGGGAAACATTGTAGTTGGAGGCACGAATGGATGACCAGGCACTAGTTGAAGGCAGCGTGGTGTTCAGAGATGAGGATGACCCTGCGGGGAACGGGCCACTGCTTGTGCGCACAGGGACCAGGGCTCCCCTCCCGGCGAGAGGATGCCTGCCCGTGCCGCAGGCTTCCCTGCAGGCTGCTGCCAAGGCGGGACCTCGCCCGGGACGGGCCCCTGCTGCGCGTGGAGACCCGCAAGGAGTCCCCTGCCCGGCACGCCAGGCCTGCGGCCGGTTCCTCGCAGGGAGGCCCTACTGCCTCCCGCGCTGCCCGGCCGTGGGCCTTAGCGGCACCACCAGGCCACTCAGGCAGCGGAGTGGACCTGGAGCAAGGAGACCACCACCCACGCGATGGCGGCAGGGCGGGCGTCCAAGCCCAGCGCTGGGGAGACCTCCCGTGAGTTGTGGGGGGGCTCCCCTGGCCCAGGCCAGGCCCACCTGCGTCCCCCTCAGCATCTCCTTGCCGCACATTGGAAGGCCTTTTCTGGGGTGCCACAGCCGCGGGGCCCGTCGCCCCCCCCCCCGCCCCCCCCCCCCAGGGAAGAGCCAAGCTCTGCTCTGGAGCAGGCGAGCGTGGCTTCCTGGGGTTCCGTGTGCCACAGCCCCCCAGACGTACCGCTGTTCCTGTCCCTGAGACGGTCAGCCTCCCGCACAGTGTTAATGGACAGATTGTTGGTGACGCTGCCGGGAGTGATGTAAGGGTCAGTTTCGGGGTCAATGTTTGGATAACCTTTCCACGGCTCACCAGGGCGAAATTCTAGGACAGAAATTTTTGTTTCCAGGAGGTTAGGCTCATTTCTTGGAGAAGCACCCAGCCAACTCTGCCTCCAAGTGACCGCTGAGGGTTTCTCATACTCTCATTGTGGCCACATGCGAATATGGGAGCAGTACTCAAAAGGCCTGTAAGTTGGAAGTTACGGATCATCGGAGTCAATGCAAGAGCAGCAGAAAGAGAGGAACAGACACATGTCCGCTCTTATTTCTGGTGCTACCAAATTGCAGAAAGCCTGGAAACAGATTGCTTGTTCAGAGCTAGCGAACCCTCTCCGTGACAGTGCTGCATCCTGCGAGATTGCAGAGGAAGGAAGGCAGGCAGGTGGAGAAGCCACCTTCAGAGTAGACCGACTCTGCCCATTCTCGGAAAAGGCCTAGCCCTTCCCAGGAGCTTCCTGAGGGCTGGGAAAGGCCAGTCTGCTTAGAAAGGGAATGCCAAGGGACAAGCCGCCTACGTCTGACCGACCATGCTCTGCTGGCAGGCCTCCCTGGGGCCGTGTGTGCTGGAGGGAGCGCGAGGCCATCCCACAGCGGAGCACATCCTCGCAGGACTCACCAGGCGGCCAGTTGACACTGCTAGGGCCGTTCGGCGATTTGGCACGTGGCCAGCCATCCCCAATTGATCCTGGAGGACTGGCTGATGCGTGACTGCTGTTCACGAAGTCGTAGGGGACAAAGGAAGCTTCCTCCAGCCTAAAGCCGCTTGGAATAGCACCTGGAAGGGGGAGAGTGGGAGGAGAGCACGTGAGCTGTGCCTTCCAGGTTCACTCCTCCCTCCGCACCCACCGCATTGCGCCGCGCGGCACCTTTCCAGGTCAAGCAAGACTTGGGCTCCAGCCTCGGCACCATGAGGGGCTCACATGCCTCAGGGCGCTCGAGCACTCGGGTTCAGCTGCTCTCGCCTTGCTCGAACCTGACTGAGGCTGACGACCACTACACTAGGGTAATTTTGCAGAATGTGGTTACCGGCTTTCCACAGGAAGCTGCCTAAAACCATTCTAGCTTTTCTGACTGAGACAGCATGCTTGGAAACAGGATCACTTGCATGGAACGGGCCTGGCGGGTCGACCTACCATTTTTGCTGGCATTTTGATCCAGTGATGTGTTAGCAGAAATGCTGTCCACAGTCGTCCACTTTCTCAGCCGGGACTGGGGCTCCTTAATACTGTGGCCCACGTCCATATTTACATTCAAGTTTGAGTTCAATCCTGCAGCAAACACACTGGGTTACACGAACAGCCAAAGCCACTGTGGCCTGCTTGTCCAGGGCCGACCACCCTGAGGCCCCTATCCCAGGCCTTGCAAGGATGCAGCCACTCCCTGGGGTCCAGTGATGCGCGGAGAGTGAATGCCCAAGTCTCCTGCAGTACCAAGCCAAGGCAAGCCAGCGCAAAGCGTCCTTGGCAAAACCTGGCAGAGGGGCCTGCATTTCACCCTGAAATGGCTGGTCCCACATTTCTGGCCTGCTGGGTGAAGGGCCGGCAGCATGCCCACCCAGGCCTCAATTCTGTGGTCAACTGCCCGGGGCAGGCAGCTTGCAGCTGCAGTGAACACTCTCTCTGAAGGGGGTTGAGTGCCACTGCAGGGCGGGGAGAGATGGGAGAAGCAGAGCGAGGAGGAAAGCAGCTAGAAGTGGGGCAGGTACACTCCCATGGTTTTTTCCCCTTTCGAGGAAGGAAAAAAATTAGCCTGGGAGGCAAAATCAGGGTTCCTAAAGTTGGGAAGGCTAGATAAGGATGGTAAAAAAGGAGAAAAATAGTGACACAAGGGTGGAGAAAGTACTTCCCGATTCATCCATGATGGTGGTCGAAGAACCAAGGACTGGCGAGGAGCCCCTGGGGGGCAGGGGAGGGGCTGCTGCCATGCAAATCGCAGCTGTGGAATCTCCCCGCAACAGGCTCTGCATGTGCAGAGCCTGTAAGTGTGAAGTGGAGCCCTCAGGCTCAATTCCAAACAAACCCCCTCCTGTCCCAGGACAAGGTGCAGGCTAAAGGCCACCGGAGACCCCTCAGCGCGCCATGCAGCTCCGGCGGCCAACCACGTGCCTCTTCCCATGCTTCCCCCAGCAGCTGCCGCCGCTGGCAAGCAGACGGGCAGGCAGCCTGCTTCCAAGGTGTGGCTGCTGCAGTTTTTTCTGGTGGGAAGTCGCACACAGCTGAAGCTGAGCAGGCCTCCTGGAACCGGGCTCAACGCAGACTGAAAACCCAGCTCTTTCACACAACCAGCAGACACCAAACTTATCAGGCCTTGCTCATTCTGGCCCTGGTGAATCCTCATACCACTACTACACCATGACTAAGAGGCAAACAAAGAAAAGAGAACAACTAACTGAATGGAAGTCAGCAAGATTGCAAATGGTTACAGTGGGAGGAAAAAACCTCACTTCCTTCAAGGAGCCTAATCAAGGAACTCTGCGGGATCTTCCTGTGACTCCGGCATACCTCGCCTTGGCCGCTTAAGAGCCATCTCTACAAGCGGACTTCCCCGGGGTCCCAAGCGAGGCCGAAGGCTTAACTGGCCACGGGTGCCTGCTGCTGCGTGGAGAGGCCGAGGGCTGCTCTCAAGACAAGTGCAGCTGCTGGGGCAGAGGAGGGCGCCCACCTGTGGGAAAGCTGCTGAATGCGCCCATGTGTGGAGGCGCCTTCTGCAGCTCTGGGGTGGCGGGGGACACGACGCTCTCCAGGAAGGACTTCACGGGGTTCTGATGGAGCTGCTGCGACGGGGGCAGGTGCTGCTGCTGCTGCTGCTTCAGGAGCAGGTGCGGGTCCAGCTGCATTGCTTGCTGCTGCAGGCTGAGGGAGCGGCTCTACAAACAGAGAGACCTGGGTGAGAAGGGATGCTGGGGGGTGGGTGGCTGAAACTGGGGTGGTGGTGGAAGCTCTGCAGACACCCTGGCCCAAGCAGCTTCCAGCAAAGCTCAGCGGACCTTCAGTCAGAAGGCCGTACTATCATTTTTACCAGACAGAAGCAGCCAGCAAGACAATCCAGAAAAAATATGATCAGCGTGACCTAAGACTGTACATGATTAACATCAGCATATGGCATGTTTTTACAAATCACTTTGGGCTGGGGGGGTGGGGGTGGAGCTAGCTCGGATGGACTCCGGACACTGAATTCTTACTCCTCCTGATCACTGGGAAAAATATGATTAAAATATACTCAAATTAAGGTCAAGAAATACTGAAAAAATGCATGCAATGTAAATTAATTCTTTTGTCTCTCTCCTGGGAAGATTTGAAACACAGACATGGACTAAGAGATGTTTTTGTAATTTGAAACTGCTGGGCGTGGTCCAGAGTAAGCTGCATCTCTGCTGTTGAGGACTGAGAAACAGTGTTTATGTTATAGACCCCTTTGCCACTTGTTATAAAAAGCTGAAAAGCAGCTTGAGGAGTGGTGGGGGGGAGAAGGTGGAAGTTGTTTTTCTTGAATGATTGTTTTTCTTGATAAGAAGAGACTTTCCTCCCTCCCCCCGCGCAGCTGGAAGGCCAAGAAAGTGCCGAAAGGGAAAACATTTGGACAGAGCTGTATATAAGAGTTAACCGACGTCCCGGGATTAGCTTCTCTGTGCTATTTTGTTCCTACTACGGAGATAAGAAATAGGAAATAACAAGAAAATAAATAAATAAGAAGAGGAAGTGATGTACGGTCTGAGAAAGAGAAAGACTGTCTTTTGCTAACTGTTGCAAATAGTAACACTTGAGCTCCCTCTGCTGGCTAGATGTTAAATTGAAGCTGTTGATCTGTAGACAGTGGTACCTTGGCTCACTGTCTTAATCTGTTCCAGGACTCTCGTCAAGACCCAAACTGGTCGTGAGCCAAGTCAAATTTCTCCATAAGGGTCAATGGAAATAAGATTAATCTGTTCTGTAACTAATTCTTTAACTCACAAAAATTTGAAGCAAAGTGACAAAGAACAACGAAGATTGCGGCCATCTCCCCTCCCCACGATCATGTGGGGGGTGGGGGGAGACTGGTGCGATCGTGGGCGTGCTGGGGAGGAGACAGGTGCAATCGCAGGCGCGCTGGTGGGGGGAGACGGGCACGACTGCAGCCATCTCCCCCATCAGCACAACCATGATCATGTCCATGCAGGGAAGGCAGGCGTGCTCACCATCGTCACCCAATGCAGAGTTCGCGACCTGCAGCAAAATTTTTAGGAAATTTCTATTCGCGACCCGATCTGGTCGTGAACTGAGGCGTTCGTGAGCCGAGGTACTACTGTACTGTTTGAAAGTTTAACTGCAATTGTGAACTGCAAATAAGATCACTAAATTCAAGAGCTCTCTCCTTAGTTGGAAATAACAACTGTAGACTGTATGTCTAAACGCTGTAACAGTGAGACAAGAACCTAAAGGCGTTTGGCAAAGACCTAAACTGAAACAAGATCCTTCTCATAAACCTCACTCATTGGATTTGCAGTTGAAAAGAGTAGAGAAAAGTTGTGAAATGAATGGGAAAAAGAGTGCATCACCAGAAAAATCAATGACGTCAACACAGCCGAACAACTCTGATATACTTCTACAGGAATTAAGAGAAATGAAGGCACAAATGAATACAGGTTTAAAAGATATGAAAGATGAGATGAAGAATGATCTGAAGAAATTAGGTATTAAAACAGATAACATGGATGGAAGAATAAAAGATTTATCTAAACAAATTCAAGAGAATCTCCAAACAATTACAGAAGTGAAAGCTCAGATGAGAGAACAAGACAAAGAGTTAAGTAAGACAGATGATCAAAATAGACCAGTCTCTAAAAGCATCAGTGATATTTGGGATAGACAACAAAGAACGAATTTACACCTTAAGAGATATCCAGAAGATGGGAAAGAGAATGAATTGATTCAATTAATATTGGACTGGGCTAAATCTATTCTTCCAGATGTTTCTTTTATGATATTGATGGAATACACAGAGTTGGCCCAAGAAGAGCTGGAAGAAAAACACCGAGAGACATCGTGGTCCAATTCTGGTCATATGCAAAAAAAGAACAACTAATGAGGAAATTACAGAATATGACATCAATTATTCTGGTAGGTCATCAGATTCTTCCTGATTTATTTAATGAGACTTTGCAATGGAGGAGATATATGTTCCAAGTTTGCCAAATATTAAAGAAGAATTCTATAAAATACAGTTGGCGGTTTCCGATTTTTTTGAGGTTTTCATACAATGGAAAATATTATAGAGTTGATACAAACAAGGAAGCATTGGAATTATTAAAGGCACTTGGAATTATCCTTGACGATGAATACACAGCACAAATGGAAAATTAATGGATATGTCTACATTCTCAAGAAGGAAGACAGAGAAGGAGAGAAAAGACTGGGAGGAGATGAAGCTGGGTATAGCAGCAGGAGGTTTACTTTCTCTGTAGAGACAGAAAGGAGATTCAGAAGAAGGAAGTATGAAATATGAAAAGATAAGAAGATCTATATGTAATAGATATAGAATATATTGTATTTGGTAGTGTTGTAGTTATTACTGAAATTGTTTCAAATAATAAATATGAGAGAAATTTGAGTATAGAATAAAGGGTATAGATGGTCGGGGAGGGTGAAGTGGGTGTCTGTGGTCTATACAGGGGAGCCTCCCCTCCCCTTGGAAGCCTGAAGCAGCGGGGAGGAGAATATCTCCAGAAGATGGGTAAGGGGGTTTCTATACATAAATGTAGTGGGGAATATGGTGGGGGTAGGGGTAAGTCTAATTGGTTTTTTGTTAAGTTTTTGTTCGAGTGTTTGTTTAATCACATATGAAGACCAAAAAGAACATCTGATGCATTGAAAGAATGGGAAAAACACTGAAGATAGTGTCTTGGAATTTAAACAGCTTGGGAGAAAGACATAAATGAGCTGAAATGAATTGAAAAATCTATTTATAAGGAAAAAGCAGATGTTATATTTTTACAAGAAACACATCAAAAGAAAGATGGAGCAAATGAATTAAAATTATACTGGGCAGATGTATACAAAAAATCATACGGTACATCAAAAGCAAGATGAGTTGCAATTCTTGTTGCCAAAAGATGTGGATTTAAAACAAAAGCTATAAAAAGAGATCATTTGGGGAGATTTCTTATAATACAAAGTCTGATTTATGGACAAGAGGTGACTTTAGCTAATATATACACACCTAATATAAATCAAAGAGGGTTTTATGATAACGTGTATAAAGAAATAAAAGAAATAAAAAGAGTATATGTGATAATGTGATAATACTAAAAAGCAGAGACATCACCTTGCCAACAAAAGTGCATATAGTCAAGGCTATGGTTTTCCCAGTTGCAATGTATGGCTGTGAAAGCTGGACCATAAGGAAGGCTGAGCGCCAAAGGATTGAGGCCTTTGAATTGTGGTGCTGGAGGAGACTCCTGCGAGTCCCTTGGACCGCAAGGCGATCAAAATGGTCAGTCCTAGAGGAGATCAACCCTGACTGCTCTTTAGAAGGCCAGACACTGAAGGTGAAACTCAAATACTTTGGCCACCTAATGAGAAGGAGGGACTCCCTGGAGAAGAGCCTGATGCTGGGAACATTGGAAGGCAAAAGGAGAAGGGGACGGCAGAGGATGAGGTGGCTGGATGGAGTCACGGAAGCAGTTGGTGTGAGCTTAAGTGGACTCTGGGGGATGGTGGAGCACAGGAAGGCCTAGAGGAATGTTGTCCATGGGGTCGCGATGGGTCGGACACAACTTTGCGACTAACAACAACAACATGTGATAATGGCGGGTGATATGGTTATGGATAAAAGGTAAATCTAACCCATCAAAGTTAGATATAAAATATAATAATACAGATTTAAGTAGATTTATTAATAAAAACAGATTTAAAGATGTTTGGAGAGAGTTAAATGGGAACAAGAAAAGTTATACTTTTTATTCAAATAGATACAATTTTTTTCAAGAAAAGTTTATATATTTGTAACACCAGAAATATTGTCTAAAATAGTTAATGCGGATATAAAAGTAATTAAAATATCAGACCATGCAATGATAACAATGGAAGTGAAAATGTGACTATTGATAGGCAAATAGATGGAGGATAGAACTAAGGATTTTTGAAATTGAGAAGATTTTAGAAAAATGGAAAAAGAATTAAAAGAAATAGGGGAAATAAATGAAAAAGGAGGTAGTAATACAAATGTAATATGGGATACAATGAAAGCAGTGGTAAGAGGACTAGGAATAAAATATTTATATAATCTAAAAAAACAAAAAGAGCAATATATATCAAGATTAGAATTAAAGAATTAGAGAAAAAGTAGAGAAAACAAAATTATGCTAGAATTAACAGCTAAAAGTAAAGAAAAACAAAATATTGAAATAGAACAAGTTCAAAGAAATCTAATTTACCTAAAAAGAGAATTTTATGAAAATAGTAATAAAAATGCCAAAATGCTGGCCAGAGCCACACAAGTCAAAAAGCAAAAAGTTTAATTATTATTATTATTATTATTATTATTATTATTATTACATTTCTATTGGAGTAATAAAGAATGAAAGAGGGGAAAGAGGGGAAACAATTGGAGTAATAAAGAATGAAAGAGGGGAAAGATGTAACAAGATGAAAGAAAAACTCTTAATTTTTCAAAGGTTTTTTGAAAAGTTATATAAGGGAAATGAATTAGATTTGAAAGAAAGTCACATATAGAAAAGAATTTAAAGTGTAAAATTTGAGAAGAGGATAAAGAAACCATGGAAACTTGAATAGAATAAGTGATATTGGAAGTTATTAATAAATTCAGGATCTGATGGATATTATAACATTTTAAAAAAAACTGTTAGTTCCTAAGGTAAACATGATGTTTAATAAAATAATGGAAGGGGACAGAATTCCAAATTCTTGGAAACAATCCACGATGGTATTGATAGCAAAACTTAATAAAGATCTTACAAACCCTGGATCTTATAGACCAATATCCCTTATTAATCAAGATACTAAGATTTTTACATTGATATTGCTGAACAGATTGAATAGATTTATAGATAAATATATAAAGAATGATCAATGTGGGTTTATAAAAGGTTGACAATTGTCAGTTGCTGAAGGAGAATATTAAATATTAACTATTATATAAAGAAGCAAAGTTTAAAGGCAAGTATATTAGCATTAGATATATTGAAAGCATTTGATTGTGTGGAATGGCCAACAATGAAAATTCTAATAGAAAAGATGGGATTTGGAAAAAAATTAAGAAAGTAATAAATCAATTATATTCAGAAAATACGGCAAAAATAATTGTAAATGATGGTATTACAGAAACAATAACCTTAAGCTGAGAAACAAGATAGGGATGCCCTTCACCCCCAATATTATTCGCTTTAATGTTGAAAGTACTGGCAAATGCAATTAGAAATGATATACAGACAGAAAGAATTGGAGTATGACAGAAAATTAAAATTAATTTATTTGCAGATGATATACTGTTAACATTTCAAGATCCAATATATTCTATAGAGAGAATATATTCACATTTAAAGGAATTTAGGAAGTATAGTGGGTTACAAGTAAATTGGGAAAATCAGAAATGATGTTATATAATCACAATAGTGAAGAATTGGATGTATTAAAAGAAAAATATAAATTAAAAATAGTAGACAGTATAAGATATTTTGGAATTGATATTCCAAAAAATAGTCAAGAATTAAAAATGAAAAAATATGAGAAGTTAAAGAAGGAAGATATGAAAAGGTAAAATTATCATGGTTTGGAAGAATAGCAGTAATAAAAATGAAAATTTTGCGAAAGATTAATTCTTTGTTCTGGATGATTCCAATTAAGTTTTATGATCAGGAATTAAAGGAAATACAGAAGTCATTGGAGGTATATTGTAATGGAGGGAAGAGAGCAAGAATACTATGGTATGAATCACAAAAAAAGGGGGGTAGGTATTCCAGATGTTAAAAAGTATTGGGTTGCTAATCAATTAAAGAGAGTTCCAGACATTATAGCCCAAAGCAAAGAACTAATAGGGAGTGATATTGAATTAAAAGAATTAAGGGAAATAGGTGATCACTTAGAGACATATTAGTTTGAAAAGGATATAAAAAAGATTAAGAGAATTCAAAATCTCTTTCTAAAAAATATGATGGAAGTATGGGAAAAATGGAGACAGCAATTAACGCCAGGAATTTCTTCGTTAACACCAGTGGTCGAAATGGAGAAATTCCCAAAAATAGAATCAAAGGATTTGATTAATAAACTAAAAAATAATCAAATATATAAATGAGGAGATCGGAAAAATAAGATAAAAATATAATACAATTAAGGAGTGTATTGGCAGAAGCTAGATTAAATTGGTTAAATTTAATACAATTAGAAAAATGGATAAAGATGGAGGGGAAATTTAAGGAGGAAGAATCACAATTAACAAAATGTGAAGGGATTGTAAAAGAATGTGAGATTAAGGAAGAATATACAGGTAAAGGAAGAATTGCCAAAATTTATAAAATACTGATAGAATTAGGGGAACAGACAGAAAGTTTGAAATCAATTTGGGAAATGGATATTAAATAAAAGATGAGGATTGGAAGAATATTTGGAATAAAAGAGTACACAAGAATAGGTTGGTTAGAATTAAAGAACATCGATATAAAGTGATATGGAGATGGTATTTAACATCAGATAAGTTAAACCAAATTGATGATAAATATTCTAATATTTGTTGGAGATGTGGAAAAGAGATTGGAACTTATAAACATATGTGGTGGGATTGTGATGATATACAAAAGATATGGGTTATGGTGTTTAATGAAATGAGAGAAATTCTAGATATAAATCTAAAAATGTCACCAAGAATTGTGTTATTCCTGCTGATCGAAAAAAAGATATAAATGAAGTTAAGAAAGAACTGATCCTAAATCTGATAATGGCAGCTAGTTTAGTAATGGTTAAATATTGGAAACAAAATTGGGTTATACAAAGGAATGAATGGTATAATGAAATATGGAATATGATTGTTAATGATAAACTGACAACAGAATAAAAATTTAAAAAGGGGTAATAAAAGTAAATGAATATAATGAAATATGGGAAGAGTCTATAAAAGCAGTACTGACAGAAGGGATAGATTGCAAGCCTAATTGAGAACATGCATTTTTGGAGGAGATATGGTTATAAAGTATATTATATATTGTTAATTGTTATATTATATGGAGTAAAATGGAGATATAAACTGGTCTCCTGGGGAGCGGGCACACAATTTTTTTTTGTTGTGTTTTTTTTAGTTATCAGTTGGGTTGCAGATGTTAATATTATTGATATATTTTGGTATGTAATGTATCCCAACTGTCTGCATTTATGCTCTGTTCTGTCCAAAATAAAAAAATCACTTTGGGCTGCAAAAAGAGAAACTTTACAGGTAGCATTTAAAAGAAATTCCATTTCTTGAGTAGCCTGGACTTTAAAAAAACTTCATCCAGCACAGGAGCGAGGAGACAACTGCCCTCGGATGCCCATGGGAAGGACCACGCAGGAAGGGGGGGAAAGCAGCAGCAGCCCAGAGGGCTCTTTCCACACCAGCCCCTGCGCACAGAAACGCTCGCTGACGTTTATACACAGGGCAGACCCTTCCGCCTCTGTTCAAGAATCCTGCCCTGAGCGGGGGGCTGGCCCTCTGGCCGCTTCCAACACTGCGAGGCCAGGATTCCCGGATTCCGCAGAGGCATTTCTATTCCACAGCAAGCCGCCCCGCTGAGAGGGCTGCGGCAGAGGAGTCCAGAAGGGGTTTGTGGGCCTGCAGAGACAGGCATAATACAAAGCGCCCTCCCGCAGATAAGCAGAGGAAGTATGCCACTTGCACTGAGGGGGGGAAACAGGCCCGGCCATACCTGCTGCTCCAGCTGACGGCAACCGGCAGGCACGCTCCTCTGGTTCTGTATCTTCCTCTGCTGGGCCAGCAACCGCTGTGGCAGGACAGGACAGGGGTCAGCAGGAGTTGGGGTGGAGGGCATCCTTTTGGCTCAGAAAAAGGACACGGGAGGCGTGGAAACAAGGCTGCCCCACTTACCTGCAAGTGGGAGATCTGAGACAGCTGGGAGAGTTGGTTCAGCATGGCTACGTGTTGCGGGCCAAAGAGTGGATTCAGCCCCCCGCTGTTGGGCGTGTATTTCAGCAGCGAGACAGGGACCTGCAGGGCAGGAAGAGCGTAAGCCCTGGATGTGAGCTGGCCAGGCAGTCACCAGCAAGACGGAGTCCCCACGAGGAAAGGGCAGCCCAGGGAGCTCTCGCAAGCCCTGCCACAGAACGAGGAACTGGCGAGTGAGGTGGTGACGGGCAGGGAGACTTTGCTCTGCTTTGCTCCAGCCGGGGAGGATGCCACTGGTTCCAAGGTACCCCACCAATCCTTTGCAACATCATCCTTTGCACAGGGCATTCGGTTGTGAGAACAGCACGACTTAAGACTGTGACCATGTCTAACGTGGGAAACCGCTGCACCCAGCTGAGTCTGGGCTGGGCATGTGTACACAGAGGCATCAAATGCCCTGTACAGGACGCCCGTCGAGCAGAGGCCTGGCCTTGCGGAACGTGAGCGGGAGGGAACTCTGGCACCTTCCGACCCATTTCCAAGAGAAGGAACTGCATCTCGCTGTGTGGAGGTGGGGGAGGGGGTCACTGTTCTGAGAGGCACCACAAGCTCCTTAACTTGTGCACACTGTTCGTTAAATAGGGAGCATCCGTTCGTGCCACCCCATCGCTTTTGAAGCAGGAATGCCTCGACAAAAAAGCCAAACCAGGCCAAAACAGCAGCGACAACGCACGCACCGATCACCACCCACCACTGCAGCCTCACCTGAGGGGAGATTAACGGGGGAGGCACTTGTGCACGGGGGTTGGACTGTGCTGGAGACTGCGGCATATTTCGGGGCTGTGCGGTTAGATTTCCAAACATCGTGGGGTTGCCATTCTGCAAAGAGAAAGGCAGAGGTGAGAACTGGCTGCGCCCTCCAGCACCGCTCCTGCGGCCCCCCAAGCCGTGGCACCGCAGCGCCCGTTGAGACAGCCAGAGAAGCGTGGCTTCCTGGCCCAGCCTTCCCGTGTTGTGTTCAGCCCATGCAGCACTTTTAAATTAGATTTCTGAATACCGTGTAGATCAGGGGTCCTCAAACTTTTCCACCAGGGGGCCAGCTGGAAGCTGCCGGTGCCGGGCGCGGACCAGAGAGGGGGTGCCGGGGGTGCGTGTGGGCCGTGCGGGTGCACTGAGGCGAGGCAAGGTGAGGCGAGGCATGAGAGGGCGTGTGCTGCGAGGGGAGGGGAGGGGCGGGCGCACAGGGCAGCGGCTGGCTCGCTTGGTGATCGTTTTCTCCGAGAGAGCAAACCGCTGTCTCCCCGCGTGTGGGGTGAGGTGGGTGGCGGCAAGTTCAAGTGGGCATGGTGGGCCAGATCCAGCCCGCCATAGAGGTTTTGGACTTGCTGCACAGCTTGCTTGTGCGAAGATCACTTTGGACTCGCTCGGAGAAAACGACCACCAAGTGAGCAAGTCAGCGCCTTGCTTTGCACGCACCCAGCAGCACCTTGCTCGCAAGAAGACCGTTTTGGACTTGCTCAGAGGAAACGATCCGCGCGCGCACACACCCCTGCCTTGCCACGCCACCCCCTGCCCCAGCCCGGCCCGCACTCCCTGTCCGCATCGCCTTGGCAGCCCACACCCATCGCCAGCACCTTTCAACTGGCCCCGTTGAAAAAGTTGAGGACCCCTGGTGCAGACACTTAGGGGGTGATGAGATTCCTTCCCTCAAAACCTCTGCCTGTTTCCATGCAACACCCCCCACGACTTGCAGCTGCAAAGACAACTAGCCTAGCCGTGTTTCGTCTTGCAGTAGGAAGTATGCATATGTAAAAATACAAGTTGAACTCTGTTTCGTGAACATGTATCACCCCTTCACCATCTCTCTCTCTTCTAGACAGAACACTGCAAGGGCTACTGGCACACATGTAAATATATTTGGAAAAACATGTAAAAGCCACCAGAGCTGGAACACTGGGTCAAAGACTGAGTGATGCTTTTACACAGGGCTGCCTCTACCTGTCTTTTCTCCTGTCTCAGATAATTGCTTTCAGACTAAAACTGCCCAGAGAGCCCTCTGGGGCTATGGTTTAATCTATAAAATTATGAATAAAGGGGCATAGGAATGGGCGTCATAAGTACAGGTTAGGGAACAAGTGGCTGGAGAGCAGAACTTGTGAAAGGGACCTCGGGGTGCTGGTTGACTGCAGGCTGAACATGAGCCAGCAGTGTGACGCAGCAGCCAAGAGGGCAAACACCACCCTTTGATGCATAGCCAGAAGTGTGGCTTCTAGATTGAGAGAGGTATTGCTGCCACTCTGTAGCACTCTGGTGCGCCCACAGCTGGAGTATTGTGTTCAGTTCTGGGCCTCTCATTACAAGAGGGACATAGCCAGGCTGGAATTGGTGCAGTGAAGGGTCACTAGGATGGTGGCTGGTTTGCAGGGTAAGCCATATGAGGAGAGACTGAGGCAGCTGGATCTTTTCAGTCTTGAGAGGAGACCTGTTAGCGACATACAGGTATGTAAGGGGGTGCCACGCAGAGGTGAGTCATGACCTTTTTACCCCTGCAGGGCAGGACACGTTCCAATGGAGCTAAGCTCAGGGAACCAAGATTTAGGGTGGATGCCAGGAAGTTCTTCCTGACAGGACCCCAAGGGTATGGAATGGGCTTCCAAGGGAGGTGGATGAAGCCCCAACAGTGAGGGTGTTTAAGGATAGGCTGGACATGCACATGGTAGGCATATCATGGGTAGAACTGGCTGGAGCCGGGGGTCAGACTTGATGGCCTAGGAGGACCCTTCTAACTCCCTCTGTTTCTATGCTTCTAAATAAACAAATAAAAGAAAATGCAAAACAGTCCCTGAACTTTTCAAAGCAGCAGCCGGACCACGTAATATGGCCTTTCCCTTCCGTTCTAGAGGCAGACAGAAGCTAAGCACAGAACAAGGGCAAAGTGCAAATAGTGTGCCAGCTGTGGGGGTATTTCAGTAGCAGAAGAGTTCTGCAACTAGCGAAGGTGCTAACAAGAAGTGAAGGAAACAGCCCAGCCGACACGTGAACGATGGGGTGGCGTAAGACAAGCCAGAAAGAGAAGCGATTTTTTGAGCACGGCTGTCGGTACGGCACAGTGGACAGAGGCTCTCCTCAGGGATGACACTGTGGAGGACACGGGCAGTGCGCCTCGCTTTCCCCAAAGGCCCTCTGGAGGCACGCCTCTTCTGGAAGACCCGCCTCTGGAGGGCCTGCAGAACGCATGCAGAGCTTGCCGCACAGCGCCCACCCTCTGGAAGAGGGCCACATGCTGAAGCGGTCCCTCATCGCCATCAAGTGCCTCAAATTAAGGCACCCGAGGCAGCACATTACCAACTGCTTTGCTGAAAACCACTGGGCAAAGAAGCTCAGGGCCTTACCTGTCTAACAGAGTTCAAGTTTTGCATACCCAGCCCTGTGACAGAACCGAGGGGGTAGTTAGGTAGTGCACTGTTGGAAGAGGGAAGCTTCGCATTCTGACTGGACATGAACTGCACGTTTGGGGAATCGTCAGCTACAACAAGGCCATCCTGGTTGACAGGTGAGTTGGAGGAGCAGCGATCGGACCGCAAGCCAAGCAGCAGGATGGCAGAACAGAAGAGGCAGACCAAGTCCAGCAGTGACAGGCAGGGAGGCAGAAAACAAGAGAGAGGTTACTGTCGTTGCAATCCAAAGCCAGACAGCTCTTACACAGCCAGCCAGTACTGGGCAAGCACGCTAGTCCAATGTGTTTTCTCTGTGTCCCTCTTCACTGGAAAAGGAGGCGCTCCCTGCCGGGAGGGCTAGAGCTGACAGCACCCACATCAGATCCTCCTGGTGGAGGATGCTGCCTTGCCACACACAGTTTGTACACAGAAGTACTTTCATTTTCCTGCCTGGAACACGATGCTAAGTGGTAACACATCAGCACCTCTCGGGAGGCTCCGCTGTTCTCGACCCTGGATGGAAGGGAAGGCGGCAGCCTGGGGACGTGAGCAGCACGCTGAACAAGACATTTCAACGGTTACGGAGAAAGAAGCCTCTGCTGACCCCTCCTTTGGCAAGCGTAAGGCATTTCGATTAAAGGTTAGACTACACAAACTCTTCAGGAAAGAGTCCAACGGGACCCCTGCCACCTGTGCAGGGCAGCCACTGCTGCTTTGCTGTTCCCCGAAAGGCGACAGACTCTCACCTTATCAAAATAAGGAATTCGATCCACGGAAGACTCTTTGGAAATCTGGGGACGGGAGTTCGGGCCTTTCCCTGTCACCCGACTGTATTCACCAACATTCAGACTGTGCTTCTCCATTTCTGCTCGCTTGTCAGCCAAAATTCCTAGGGAAAGTGCAAAAGGGGTTTCGTGCAGCTGCTTTACACAGAGATTCCCTGTCCTTTCCTGCCCAAGTTCTGTGCGTGACAGGCGATGTGTGAGGCTCTAAGGCACCTCCTCAGCCACAACCGCTCCACAAGGCCAGTGCGGTCTTTGGCGTGGAGGGCAAGTTCTGCGGCTTGCCTACGTGCCACAGAACAAGGGATCTGCAAGACGCGGTCTTCAGGCGGAACGGGAAACAAGCAGCAAGGAAACACCAGTGATGGCTGTAGCCTACTGGGGTTTGGTCACCCTTCTTTCACCGTGAGCTAGGTACAGGTTGTGTACTTAAGCATCTGCGCATTCGCACAGATCGCCTGAGTTTGTGCGCAGCCCTGATCTGGAGGACCAACTGGCACCCACTTTACACCCTTCTTCCCAACACAAAAGACCAAGGCGAACACCTCTCGGTTGGACTGAGTTTACTGCCACAATGGCACATTTTCAAAGACACCCCAAAGTGGTGCGACACCCTCAGGCAGACCACGAAAGAAACAGCACTGAAACAAATGCGACAGAAAGAATAAAACCTGAGAGGACAGGGAAAGTGTGAGAAAGAAAGAACAAGCCAGGGTTCTGACTTCTGTGCTCTCTCGCTTCATCACCAGGAAGATCGCCTACAAAAGACGGTAGAAAGGGAACTGAGTGGAGCAGGCCCCGCTGAGGGTGTGGACAGTGCAAGGTGGGAGAGCTCCGACCAAAACTTCCTCAGCTAGCCAAGGTTCCTGGCTGCGGAGCCAAACTCATGCAGAGCCTCGGTCGGTGTGATGTGCCAAGACCACAGAGGGCAGATGTTTTTAAAAGGAGCATCCCTCTAAACTGCTTTAGAACCAAGAACGTATTTTTAAAGTCATACAACAAACGCAGAGCCCCCTTTCTGCCACCCTCCCACCCTGAGCCTGCACTTACCACCAGCTATGTCCATCTTATTGCTGTGCATCAATTCTTCTGGTGATTCTCTCTAAAGTAATAAACAAGACCAGCCTCAGAAAGCTTTATAGGCAGTATTTGAACATACTCCCACTCTTGGAAGAAAGAAGTTCATCGAGTGCATTTTAACTAAGCTTGTGGAAACGAGGGGGCGGCAGCGCGCAGCTGTCCAGAAACGAGGGACCCATCAAGCTGCGGAACTTACAGGAAAGCCCAGACTTGCAAACTGCTTCACAAATGGGTTGATCCACATCTCCTCTTGCTTGTTTCCATTTTTCGTTGTTCCCTTGAAAAAGAAACAGGAAAGCTTCAGAGGTAGAAAGGCAGCTGTTGGCAGGCACCTGTCCAGGAAACACGTGGCACAGGCTGCAGGTAATGGCAAAGCTGCCAAAGATGCCCCTGTAGAGCAGGTGGGCGTGCAGCCAGAAAGACGGGGTAGATTCTCCCTCAGGCTCAGCCAAAAGGGCTGTCCAAACACTCAAGGGGATCGTAATCCTTACGGCCTACAGAGGGGAAACACTCAAAGGCAACTAAAGGAGTGCCTCCATCCACACAAGGCTACCCCAACCCGAAGGTCTTCATCGGAGGTCCTGCTTTGGGAGCCACTCTGAAAGGATGCTAGGGAGGTGGCTACCTGGTGTAGGGCCTTCTCAGACGTGGCACCCCATTCATGTTCATGGAATCAGTGCCCCAGAGATGTGCGCCAGGTGCCACCTTTGAATGCATTCAGGCGCCAGGCAAATACTTTTTTTATTTTCAGAGTATTTTAACTATTAAGAGTCTTAATTCTAATTTTTAATTCTAATTTTAGGTTGGTATTTTAATGAATTTTAAAATTTTAATCATTTTTAATATCAGATATCGTCCAATCTGGTTATTGTACAAAGCAACACGGTTGGTGCACCTGCTGATGGAATGGATGTTTTTACTGGAAATAATGCTTTACTTATTGAATTGTTAATGTGCAAACCCAGGGAGCAGTAGATGGGCTTCTGCTGCCTCTTGTGAGGGCCCCACCACTTCTTATGCCAGGTGCTGCAAAGTACCCATAAAGTCTCTACAGCCTTATACAGCGCAGAACACAATCCCTGATGGCACCTGGATGGCTGCAATCCATCCTGACACTGCCATCCAATCTGGGGCCTGCCTTGGATCGCCACCTTGGAGGGATCCCCAACAGGCGGCAGGAACAGGAGAACTCATTCCAGTGGTGCCCCAGTTATGGGGCCAGCTCTCCACTGAAGCCTGCCTGGCACCGACCCCAACATCTTTCCAGGGGCAGGTGAAATCTGTCCTCTACCACAGGGCTTCTGATTAGTTTAGTGTTACACTGGGGCTCATGTCTGCTGCAGAAACAGGCCCTCACTGAATTTGCGTAAGCTATTGTGCAGCTATTATGCAAGCTATGATTTGTTTAAATTGCTGTTGTTTAAATAAACAATTTGTTTAAATTTGGCCTTTATATTTTGCATTGGGATTTATATGACGCTTTTATTGTTGCCTGCACATTACAACTGTGTGTTGCTGTAGACCATTCAGAATGCTTCAGCTACTGAAATAAAGCTATCAGAATAAAATCAATGATCACCCCCCCCCCACCCCCCCACAGGGATGAGGGCAGCTGTTCCCACAGAAGACAGCCCAACCCAGACTGCCTGGCCCACCCTGCAAGCTCAAGCTGGTTACCTTCAAGGGAGGCTTTTTGGAACAAGGCGGCCAGTGTGAAGAGACACTCGTATCTTGCACTGAGTTACTGTTCCACATTCTGATCTCAACTTCATCCTCTTCCTCCCAGCTGGCCTGATTATCTCCCGTCAAAGGCATCTCGCCTCCACACCAGCCGTCTGGAACTTGCATAGACTTGGGTCCTAAGAAAATCAACCTGTTCTTTACTAACCGGTACGGTGCCACTACGGCATAACCACACAACGCTGCAACGTGGCTACTATGATCGTCTGTTTGCAGAGGGGGAAATGAAGCCACTAGAGGCTTCCCAGGCTGCTGACAAAGGCCAGACATGAGCCTAGATCTTCCAAGCCTGGGGCACCAGCCAGGAGGCTCACAGCAGAACTATCTTGCAAAATTCAACGCCAGCCTTTCCCCCAGGATCAGCTCTGCCAGCAACTCCCCAATGGGGTTCACAAGCCATGCCTCATCCCCTTCACCAGACCGACAAATGCACCTACCAGGCTTCTGAGAAGCTGGCTGCCCAACAGCTGCGTTGCCCCAACCGCTGGAGCTCAGGGCCTCCCCGATGGACTCTCCCCAGCTCGCACCAGCGTCAACAGGTTTTCCCCACGCGGACGTGCCATTATCCACCGCAGCGGGTGTCGGAGGCGGCTCCACCCAACCTTTCAAGAGAGGCCCCAGTCAGTAGGAAATCCAGGGCGGGCAACACGTCAGAGGCTTGCTTCTGCTTATTCATGGCAAAACCCAGCAAAACTTCCAGCTGTAAGTCACTGGGAAGCTCGCACAGTCCCTCGACCAAGTCAAGCTGGCGAGATGGTCATCACTACAGCTACTTCCTACAATGCGCAAGGAAATGCTACACAAGCTATACTGCCTGTGGACTGAAACAACTAAGCAAGACACAAGTTCACATCTTCCCTGACTTGCTTCTAAAACAGCACTAGTAGGAGATGGCTAGAAGGCACCTGAGAGAAGGGGGTACTTGCACTGCGAGAAAGCCCCTGGAACCCTTTGGGGTGACCTATTTCGTGCTTATACTGCCCAACAGCCAAGACTCTCTGGCGCTCAATGGGCTCTCTTGGCACTGCCAAGACACACAACTCACTGCTTCTCTAGAGAATTCAGAGAAACAGAGAACGGAAGCGGCATTTCCCTTAATTCCTCCAAGCGGTGAGCAGAGGTCTCGCAGTCATTTGAAACAAGCGAGAGGAAATGGAGTGCTTAAAGGCAGGCTGTCCATGGGCCACGGCAAAGATGGGCATGCCGGCTCCACGGCACTGCTGAATCCAGACCCTCCACTGCCCAAGACCCCCTGACCTGGAACATCCTTCCAACAGGAGGAAGAAGCTGTGTAAGGAGGAGCACCTGTTTTGGCCCCAACAGATCAGATCTACCATGAGGATTACCATGGGACTGGCCTCCTGAAACAGTCTGATCCGGAAGGAGCCGCTCAGCCCCGCCAGCATTTGCAGGAATCGGCTCCTGCAGGCTCTGCTGGCCAGAGAAAAAGCGGCCGAGCAACCATGTTGGGGGAGGGAAGGGAGTTCTGCCCCCCCCAGTGATGTTGCACACCCACCAGCTCCATCCAGGAGGGGGCAGTTCGGGCCCGAGGAGGGAATAGATGGCTTCTAGGCTAGGGGGCATCGACAGGGGGATGCCTGATCTTCCCACCACCTGTGCCCACCAGCACTAGTTCCTCCTCTCGGTCTCCAGGGCTCTGCCTTGGTTTGGCCACAGCGGCAGCACCACCACTTCGGCACAGCCTTGACCCCGGCCTCGGAGCCCACACTCCCCAGAAGCACTCAACACAGCCCTGCTGCCCCACTGAGAGCTGCCTGCAAGCCGCTCTCCTCCGAGCCCCGAATCTGCACGGCGCGGGGCCGCGGGGGCAGCCTCAACCACACGGACTAGCGCAACGCGAGGCCTTACCAGAGCCGCTCTCCGCCGCCGTTCCAGGGCCCGAGAGCAGTCCCTGCGGGTCTGCACGGCCAACCCCGTTCACGGTGTTCTTGTTCCACATGTTCACGTTCTTGTAGTTGTACTTGCTGGGGTCCCCCCAGGCGGAAGTCCCGTCGTCAATCTCAATTTTGCGGCGGATGGACTCCGGGGACGGCTCCTCCCACCCAGTGGGCTCCTCTTCCTGGACGGGTGCCGGCATCGGCCCCCCTAGCCACCCTACCCCGGGGGGCTTACTTGCCGCCTGCGCCCCCCAGCAACCAGTGTCGCACTGCTTGTGCCAGTCGGGGGAGCTGGGAGCCTTGGGCACCTCCCCCCAGCTCTGCGAGCGGCCGGCCTTGGGGGGCTCACCCCACCCCTGGCCCTGGTTGGGCTTAGGGGGCTCCTCCCACCCCAAGGCCTTCCTGGGCTTGGGGCCGCTGCCCCCACCCCATGGCACAGCACTTGGCTTGCCCGACTCCCTCCAGCCAGACCCTGACCTGTCGCTGTCACTGCTGCCAGAACTGGACTTCTTCCCCTCGCCCCAGTGATTGCTCCGCGAGTTGTCCCCCCAGCCCTCGACCGCTGGGGCTGCCCACACTGGGTTTGCCTTCGGCCCGTCTCCCCAGCCCTGCTTGAGCTTCTCCCCTTCACCCCAAGGCGAGGCGGCCTGGTCCTCTCTGCCCCCCGCCCAGGACTGGCTGCCCTTGGCCGGGGGGGCAGCCGCAGGGCCCTCCTCCCAGCTCCCCTGGCTGCCGGAAGCCCTGGAGTCTCCCCACCTGGTGACCAGCTTTGGTTCCCCCCACCTGGGCGCAGGCGGCGCATGGCCGCCATTCAGGCTGGGCCTCTCTGCAATGCCCCCCGAGCTGCTGGCCTGCACCGCACAGCCGCCCCAGGCCTCCGTCCCATTGTCTGCCTTTTTCTCCACTCTGGGAGACATCTCGGTGTCCCAGGCAGTGTTCTGTTTGACTGGGGTCTGGCCCCAGCCAGAATTGGAAAGGACACGTGGATCCAGATCCGTGCGGTTCACTATGCTTTGGAGCAACGCCTGGTGGTCGACCTTCCTTCTTTCACGGCCTGGCCCGTCGACAGCAGCTCGCTCTGCAGGGCTCTCGGTATGACCTTCGCTCCCGCCAGTACTTGTCTTGGCCCACCCACCGTCCTGCTCGGTGATAGCAGCGACCACAAAACTCTGCAGATCAGCAGCGGCGCTCTCCTCTTCCACAGATTTCCACATGTTTGTAAACTTCTTGCCGTTTCCGTTCGTGCCCTCCGAGGAGCGCTGAGTACTTGGCAGCTTGTTCCACTCTCCATCTGCTGAGTTGGTGCTCTGGCCAGGCCCCCTCCGGCCCTCCCCGGAAGCCACCCCAATTCCGCCCGCCCAGGGAGTGCCCTGGCTGCTGCCTGCCCCAGCCACCTCCCACGCCCCTGCCCCGTTGTCCCCACTGGCCCCGCCAAGCCCCGGCTGAGTTAGCGTTGCATTCACAGTGTTGTCGCTGGCACGGCTGCCGGACTCTGGACAGGCTTCTCTGGAGTAGCCAGGGCCACAAGTGCCCCACACAGTGCCAGGGGCCCCAACATTTTTTGCTTCACCGTTGCTCAGGTGCAGAGCGGAAGTGCCATTTATTACTGGAGAGGCCTGGGGCGGAGACCGACCGCTCCTGGCGCTCAGGCACCAGGTCCCGGGTCCCGGAGCCGGTTCAGTCACCTGCATCGAACCAGCAGGGTTTGGTAAACTAGAGGTCAAAAAGTTAGTAGTGTTACTATTTGGTCCGTTCATGTCAGGGGGGGCGTTCTGAGGCTGCCCTCCACGCAAAACCTTCCTTGTACCATTTGCCTGGGAATCACAGCTTTCTTGGAGGCTGCCCCAGGAGTTGCCGAGGCCGCCGCTCCCACCGGGACTGCTCCCGGCCGGGCCCAGGCTGGGGCTGCCGCCTCCCACGGCCCCTTTCAGGGCACGCCCATTGTGCTCCGAGGCAGGCCGGGCACCGTGGTGGCCATTGGGGCACGAGGGGCTGGGGTTCAGCTCTCCGCTGGGCGAACCGAGGGTGCCCCAAGAATTCATTCTGTTGGTGCTGCTTTCAGAAATGCCGTTCAAGGCCTCTGCGGGAACCTGGCAGGTGCCCATCACGGCCCCAAGAGCCGCACTCCAGGGCCTGGTGAGGCTTCCGCTGCCCACATTATTGCTGCTGGTACTGTTGTCAAACTTGGTCTGAGAACTGTGTCCAAGGCCATTCCGTATGTCACCGCTGGAGGCCATGGTAACGAGGTTCTTTTCCGACCCAGAGCTTGAGGCAGCGTCAGTGCCCATACATTCTGGAACCAGCTCCAAGTCACTGCCGGTGATCGAGGGCCATGTCTCCTTGTCCAAGCCGTCTACAAAAGCATCATTCCGCTTTGTGCTGGAGTCACTGCCGGACGGGGCTGCTCCCCAGCCAGAGCTCTCATAATGGGGTCCTGCTGTGCTGTGGCGCAGATCTAGAAGCAGAGGACACGGCATCACGGAAAGCGGCAAGCAAAAGGACAGCTAACCCACTGGGTCATACGCCTCAGTTAAGACTCGCTGCCCGCAAAGCATGGCTATAAAATACTGGGGAGACCCACAGAAGGGGCTAGATAATCTCGTGGGACGAACCAGGATAGGTGTGGGGACCTGTAACAGTCAGGGAATGTTTCCTGCTACCGAGATGGGATCTGGCTTCTTTTAAACTTGAGCACACTGCTCCATGTCCTGCTCCCTGGGACAATGGAGAAGAGATTCTGCCCTCCTCTGTGCGACAGCCTCTCCAGGGTTTGAGAAGTGCTTTCAAATCCCCCCTCAGTCTTGTCTTCTCAAGGCTGAACATGCCCAGCTCTTTCAACCGTTCCTCACAGCTTTTTGTTGCCAAGTTCCCTGATCATCTTTGTTTACTTATCTAAATTATTTCTATACCAGCGTTCATTAAAACATTCACTATTTTATATAAAAATAATGAATTATTTCTATACCAGCATTCATTAAAAATCAAAGCACACTTTGTTGCCCTCCCCTGAACTTTTTCCAGTCTGTCTGCATCTTTTGAAGTACGGTGCCCAGAACGAGACCCAATACTCAAGAGGGGACCTATTGGGTGCAAACTAGAGGGGAACCAGAGCCTCACGTGATTTGAAAACCGTGCATTCGCTTTTTTTTCCAGCCACTGCACGTTGCTGACTCATATTCAGTCTGTGACCTACAACCCTTCCAAGACCCTTCGCACTTGCATGTGGCTGAGCCAAGCACCTCTCATTTTGTAACTGTGCATCTGGTTCCCTGCCTCCGCTGTCCTTCTGCTTGGATAGCGCTAGGGGTGAAATTCCATAAACGCTTACACATAATTAAGTCCTGGTGATCTCAGTGAGTCTTGCATCTCAGTAAACATCCAAAGGACTGCACTGTTCAGCATTTGCACTTTTGGAGCTACAATCTCTGCATGCTTATTTAGAAATTAAGTTCCTTTGAACAGAAGGGGTTTCATGCATTGGATTGCTCTGCAAATTTCATGAATGCCAAACAGAAATACAAAGTAGTAGGCTCCAGAACAAATCAAGTCAGGACTTCCCTGGAAACAAAAATCATGAAACTGAGGCTGCCATGCTTTGGGCACATCATGAGAAGGCAAGACTCACTGGAGAAGACAATTGTGCTCGGGAAAGTTGCAAGCAGAATAAGAAAAGGAAGACCACGCGTGAGAGGAGTCCACAAAGGGAGCCTTCGCCTCAAATTTATCAGAGCTGAGCGGGCTGTCATGGACAGGACATGCAAATGGTCTCCTTAAGTCAAGGGTGACCTGCGGGCACCTGAGGCCACAACCACAACAATAAACAGATATGAACATGTATGCCTACTAAACTAGAAATGATGTGCAGTGTTGCTCGAACAGTAAAGCAGATTTAGGTTTGAGAAGAAGTGAAACACTCTGTACCAGGCATTGCACAGAAACCCAGATACAAACCCTGTCTTCTGGGAACTTTTCTCCCAAATTCCTGGGGTTCTCCCCACCTCGGCGAGTGCAAGCAAACAAACAAAAGGGACCCTCACTTGTCCTCCATATTTTTGGGTTTTTTTAAACATTTTTTATATTTTTAGCATTTCTGGATATTTTACATCTACATAAAATAAACATTTAGTTTTATTTAGTTTCTATAAAAATACATTGAAAAGTAAGATTTAATAGCTTATTTCTTCCCTAAGTATCAGCTATAAGACGTTTGACTTAAAATAGCCTTGTCTTAATGTCAATCCATTTCTTTAATCTGTGTTTATTATTTCAATCTGAGGAAACTATTCCGCCGTAGACTAGCTCCTGAACCACTGCACTCAGGAGCCAGGCTCTACCACTATGCCTGCCTGCAACGTTTGCCCCACAACTCACACAAGCGTGTGCCAAGATTCCTCGTTGCACTGGAGAATGTTCCTATCACTCTAGGGACATTCTGTGTCATCCATGATACTGGAAGAAACTCACCCTCCCATGTGAGGCTTATTGGAAAAGCAACTTCAAGATCAGGCCACGCACGACAGGTTTCCACCTGTCTCCCCCAGCGGGTGCTCTGACTGTCTCACCTGGCTGGTTTTGGTTGCTCTGCTGTCCTTCACTCCCAGCAGCAGGTTCCTCGCTTGTTGCTGTGCTCCTTTCTGATGGGCTGACCAGTTTGGCTGCGGACCCCAGGAGTGCAGCGATCCCGGGCAGTGGCTCCCCTCTCTTCAAGAGCTGCTTCTGCTCTTGGTGCCGGAATCGTGGTGGCACTTCGCGGGGAGGGTAGCGAGGCGAGGGCTGCGGCTGCGCTTGCTGCTGACTGCTGCCCACGACGCGCCTGGCATTATTACTGGCACCCGTGCCCCCAGCTGCCGCGGAAGTGGCGCTGGTGGAGGTGGCGAGGAGCGGATTGCAGACACTCGGCTTTGTTGGTTCTGACGTGGCTGTCACCAAAAGAAGCAGGGAGAGGGACCACAGTCCTGTTAACGATCTATCCAAGGCACAAAATGTTTCTTCCCACCTCAGAACACAGACAATCCTCTGTGCTCATGAAGTTGCACCAAGTGTTAACACTGGGCTGAAAAAACAAAGGCGTGCGGGAGCACTGGGCTATCTAGTCTGGCCCCCGGCTCCAGCTGGCTCCACTCATGTAGTCCCCAACATGTGGCTGTCCAATCTTTCTTTGAACACCCTCACTGAGGGGGCCTCCACCATCTTCCTGGGAAGCCCATTTCATACTCTGGGGTCCTAACTGTCAAGAAGTCCTTCCTAGCATCCAACCTGAAGCCTGGTTGCTTGAGCTTTGCCCCATTGGAATGTGTCCTGCCCTCCACTGCAGGGAAGAGCAGGTCATGGCCCTCCTCCACATGACATCCCCCCACATGCCTCTAAGTCACTACAAGATCCCCTCGGAGTCTCCTCTTCTCTAGGCTGAAAAAACCCAGTTCCCTCAATCGCTCCTCTTAGGGCATCCCACCCAACCCGGTTACCATTCTGGTGACCCTGTGCTGGACCGATTCTAACCTCACTACATCTTTCCTATAATGCAGAGCTCAGAACTGGATGCAGTACCCCCACTGTGGGTCCACCAAGTCATGCAGAGTGGTATCAACACCTTCCTAGATCTGGAAGCCACACTTCTGGCTATACATCAAAGGGTGGCATTTTTGCCTTCTGGTTGCTCACCTCTTCTTGCTTATATTCCTGAATGAGGAAGACTCAGCATGATTAGGGATGAGGTGACATCCAATGATAAGTATTCTTTTCTGGACTCTTCAGCCCCTCCCCCAATACCAGCACCCCTTCTAAAGTCTGAGACAAAAAGAGTCAAGTGCTGGCACAAATATAAATGCCCACACCCTGATTCACCAGAGGCATGTTTGGAGCCCTTCGCAATGCTGGAGCACTGCCATTAGGTCATGTCAACAGTGCACAATAACTTACCTTTGTGTTTTTGTTCAGCAGCCTGAAACAAACAAACAAACAAACAAACAAACAGTTAGTTAATCATTCCTAGGGCTTTCTGGCACAAACTCACAGCTGGCGGCACTGCAAGCTTGACTCTATCAGTTATCTCTCAATGGACTGCTGCAGTGATGCCACCCGCCCCGGCCCCACATGACCATGTCCAAGCTGCCTTTGCAACTCTACTTCCCTTTCCAACCTGGCCCCTCACATTACGGGCTGTTGCATCTGACAGACATGCAAGCCAAGCCAAGCCAAGCCACGTGCGTATTAGACGCCCATCCACAGTCCAGTATTCCAGGACTGGCCAGGGGCTCAGGAATGAGAAAAAAAGCAAGCCCTTGCTGCACGGTGGGTGCAAACCCCTCTGTCTGGGCAAATGACTCCCAGGCCTTCAGTGCCCACTGCTCCCTGGTGTGGCCTGGGGGCTTTGGGAGCAGCTGGCACGGGTTCTGCTGGCAACCCTATGCCAGGAATGCCCAGGCGCATTTGTGCTCTTGCCATGGGGATTCCAAGCCAGTTCCCGTACCTGCAACGGGGCTCGTCATCCAGGTCTGGATGACACAGCAACCCGCCATGAATACACCAGTCCCCGCAACATCCTGTGGGCTGTTGGGATCGCTTGCTGCCCACAGACAAGCCACCCTGAGGAGATCAGTGCAGGCCTGCGTGGCACGGCAATCCATCGAAGCAGCAACCCACCATGGGTGCCACCACACCCCGAGGATGCAGCTGTGGCTTGTGCCAGCCGTTCCCCTGCAGATGGTCAAAGGCAGCGTCCTGTGCTGGGAGCTGAGTGCCCAGAACACCAGGGCAGCAAACCCAGCACTCCCCACCGTCCCCCCTTATCCCTTGGCTGCGCCTTCGGCTCCTAACGCTAAGGAAGCAAGGACGCTGCAGGGTCCCAAGCACACCCCCACCTTCTGCTCTTCTGGTCCAGGGCAGGTATGCACGTTCCAAAGCCTGCTGCTGTGAAATCGATAATGTCCCTCTTTGCTTTACTGCTCTGCCTCAAAGCAGCTTTACCGATCCCACCTGCCTTGAAATTTGCGTATGTTTACTGATCCACCTCAACGCTTTGCTTTGCTTTGAAATGTACGCATCGTTGCCCACGCCCACTTCTACTCAGCCTCACACATGTGACAGCTGGCAACTGAGCCTGGGGAGGGAAGCCATGGGCGTGAAGGGAAGGCACGGCACACGGGAAGGGGCTGCAGGAGGAGGAGGGTTTCAGGCGTGTGTGACCATTTCGGTAACATGCGAGGCAGAGTTTTAAAAAATGCTCTTGGGAGCAAGACAAGCCCTGCAGTGGAGGATGAAACTGACAAGAGGGGAGTACTGTGATTGAGCTGGACAGCCGCCGGGGGGCTTGCATTCTTGGGCACGCACACAAGACTCCAGGTATGTACCCAAGTGAGCAAGCCCGTTATTGTTCCCAGTGAGTTATATGCATCTGGCCAATCTGATGCTGGGGGGTTGCTGCTGCCTTCTTTGGGAGCCCCCAACCCGAGCAGATTAGATTAAGAAAAAGGGCTCACTCAGGGAATGAAAAAATGCTGCAGGGGCAGCTGGGAGCAGTCAGGAAGCCTTAGGCAGAGCTGAGCTGCAGCGTGCATCTGTTGGGAGCAACAGGGCTTCTGGTGGGAACAGCCAACCCACCATGGCTTAGCATGCGGAGGGGACCTGCCCTCCCCCTGGCCAACATGAAGAAATCCATTTGGAACAGAACACTGGCTTGCAATGGCTACAATCTGAGACAGTCTAAGAAAAATGATATTCCTTTATGAAGCGTCTTAGCCTCAGACTCACCTTCTTCTGAGCAGCTTCTTTCTTCTTCTTGTCGTCTTTCCTCTTTTTCCTTTCTTCCATCAACTGCTCCTCTTCGTCTTGCACCAATTCCCTGGAGAGAGACAACACACCGCAGTTATTCTCTGCTAGAGAGCATTCTGGACAAACCTGGTAACAGCCAGTGCATCTTCCATATGACACGGATCTTCTCTTTTGCCAACATTTTCCAGACTTGAGGATTTTATCCCAGTTTATTTATTGAGATTAAATGTGAAAAGCAGCTGTGGTTGGAAAGAGGAAGGGGTAAGCAGAGACTGGCTATGGAAAGGTTTAGGCACATGCAGGGAAAATGGACCCACACAATACAGAGAAGGGGCAGACAGCAGGAATCGGAAATGTGGACTTCACGGGGAGAGAGCAAGCTGTGCCACAGGAAAGGCTGCTTCGCGTTCTGCTCCCAGGGAGGCAAGAGGAGGAAAAGCCTGAAGACAGCCGAGGAGGAGGAATCCCGTTTGTCACACAGTGAGCGGGGCGCAACCTAGCTGGGCCCAGTGACACAGGCTGCGTGATGCCTTGCCCACTCGCTGATGTTCTTCTGTGAACTTCTGCCTGTGAACATGGGCAACGACTAATGCAGGGCCAAGCGGGCAAAGATGCAATGCCTGTCCTGACTGAATGGGGATGGCCAGATATCCAAAGCAGTGAACACACATGCAATGGACACGTGTGAAAACGCAACTTTCTAGCAATTATACATGGGCTTCAACTAAAGCAGAATATTATAAGAGGTGAGCATTTATCCTTCCAAGGTTATAGCATCAGTCTTTGAGCTGTTTTTGCTTAATAAAGTGCAGCCTAAGAACCAGGTTGGTGGAAGACTAGATTTAAATCATACTTTTCTACATAATTTACATGCATGCATGCCTCACCCATAGGTAGGGGAACCTCATTAAAATATTCTTAAACTGGGTCTCTTTTGCAGCCTGCTGCCATTATAGGTTTTCTCCTCCAGGGAAGGAATAATATGAGAAAACTCAGGCTAGACACCAAAAGATCCAAAGACTTGCAGAGCATTCTGTTCAAAAGGTTTCACTTTCCTTTTTACTGCTTGTCCCTCCCTCTTGGGTTCTTTTGCAGATCTGTTTCTCCCCCAACAATCTTCCTCTAGTCATGGAATTTTTTGAAACTTAGCCCTTAAGAGGGAAGGGGTTGATTCTGTATTCATAGATTTGCAAAGGGACAATTGGATTACGGTGTTTTTCTCAACTCTGTATGTTTGTTTTATAACATCTTTGCTGTGAAGGAGAGGCGCGTGGTCTCTACAGACACACATGCACAGTTTTGAGAACTGTAAAACCAAGCATCTGCGGTAATATCTTCTAGACAGAAAAAACTGCCCAATAATCTTACAGAAACTTCTGGAAGAACATGACATTGTGAATGGATTACTTGAACTCATTTGCCAACAAATTTAAACATTGCATTTAAACACTGTCTACCCCACTTTTAAATGTTCCCGTATTGGTTGGTCCATAAGGCAAAGCACGAAGTACACCTATAAAATGTGCACAGGGGACATGGCGTTCACTGACTTTCACGCAGGAGTGGCCAAACGGAACCGAGCTGAGCCGCGTGTGTAGCCTCTTCCAAGTGAAAGCAGCACCAGACTCCACGAGGTGGCACTTTCCAAGGCTCTTCAGGAGGAGCTGGGCCATGGAAATCCACTCCAGATTTTATTAGCCTTGTTAGGATCAATGTAAGTGTCACAGGCAGGCAATGACTGCCTCTCGGTACAATCAACCCACCCAGCCAGAGCACGGAATAAAGGCAATCACAAGGACATGAAACGTGCACTGAAAAAGCCCACAATTGCTCTACAGAACTTGCTTCACTGAACACCTTTGTCCAGCTACAGAACAGAGCCGTCAAGGGATACAAGGCGATGACAACGTACGATCAGCATCTTTTTCGACTAATGCAAACCACGCCTGCATCACGACTTGGGTGGCTGGAGATTCGACAGCTCAGCCCATACAGTCCTGGTGTTAAAAAGCAGCACACCTAACTTGGCAAGCCCTGAAATTCCTGCCAGGGCGAGATTTAAGCTTCCTGGCACAAGACCACATCAAAGCAGCGGAGATAAAAGAAGGCACAAGCCATTCACAGTTTTGCAAGCGCCTGATAAAATAACCCGATTGAAGCTGCAGAGGAAAAGTAATTAGGATTCTAAAGGCAGGCCCTGCCAGTCATGCTGGTGAAGCTTAGCCTAACCCAAACCTTTTGTTACACCAATTCTGGCTGCATACACACTCTTGACTTTGACTTATGAAAGAAGCCCGAGTCTAAGAAACAGTCTGCGTGCTTTGACACTAGCTTTAAACTAAGCAGGTAATTGTCATTTGGCATCAACATCATCCAGAGGAGAGATTAAAAATCAGTAACCAGTGGAGGCCGTGAAATCCATTTTCAGGTGTCATGCCAGCCAGTAAGGGCCACAGCAACTGGTTTTTCACAGCGTTTAACTGGAATGCCAGTTTGTCTCTCCCCCATTTTAGATATAAGCTAAAAGACAAGTCAAACTGGGCTCTTCCACAATGTTCAGGTTTATACTCAGTGTACTTATGTAATGAGCTCAGGACCAAGACTCTTAAGTCTTAATCTTAAGAGGAAGCCAGGGAGCCACTAAATACCAACCAGGACAGGTAAGAACAGAGAGGCCCAAGGAGGTCAAGCCTTTTAAAGTGGACAGCCTAGAAACTGGGGCCAACACTTCCTCAACACTGAAGTCACATGCTATAGCATATTTCCCATATTCTTTCGTGTTTATTTCAACCCACCTTTCTCTGGACTGCCTGAAAAGTGAATTTCTGGGCTGAAGAAGGATGTGGCAAAGCCCACCTGAAAGGCTGTGCTGGGCCCAAGGTGCAACATTCTGAATGCAGCAGCATGATCTCTTTCATTGTCTGTTCTTCCAAGTGCACCCAAGCCAGTCTGTAGCAGTGGAATGAGCCACATTAGTCAACTGCAACCACCAAAACAGCAAAATTGGTAAGCATCGTGACTGCACTGCCTCCTGGCGAGTGCAAAAGCAAAATCTGACAGCCCTCGCTGTGCTTCACCTGCTGGCCTGCAAACAGAAGCGTGAGGACTGTCCAAGCGGCCAATCCTGAACAGGCGGTCGCTCCTTCTAAGGTCTACCACAAGCAGATAGTTGCTAACCATCACAGTCCACCAGACAGAAAAGAAGAAATCTTGGCTTCCCTTCTGAAAGTTCCTGTTCCCTCCAAAATGTGCTTCTTCCCTGGCCTCCCAGGAATTCTTTATAGATGATTTACATATTTAAAATATTGTTGAGCTACTCAGGGTCCAATGGCCTCACAAGGTGGCTTCCAACATGAGAATAGACTTAATTACAGTTTTGAAAACACATAGCTGCAGGAGCAGCCAAGATTTCTAAAGTAATAAATACAGACCATTTGGTACCTGAAACTTCAGCAAAAGCACCCCAAATATCCATATATTTAGCCATTTGTAGATTATGCCTAGAGGCCACCCATTCACAGTAAAAAGTTGCATTGAATCCACCACTCATTACTACAGGTGATGGTTTAGCCTTCCAAAATTGTAATATTAGTCTTTCAGCTGCCAAAAAGGCACAGTAAATCCATTTCCATTGACCCTGCATAAAACCCGAAGAGATGGGCAGGTACTTCAAAAGAGCATGTGTTTCATCAAACATTAAAGAGCTTTCCACCACAAACCTTATGGAAATGATAACCTGCTCTTGAAAGGGAGCCACCATCAGAATCAGTAAACCATATGAAGAGAAGCATTAGCAGCATTGCTCCTCCAGCAACTGGTGGATTTAATGATGCCCTTGCCACAGGGACACTGCGGTTCCCGGCATACTCAAGCATCAATTTTTGCTGAAGTAAATGTAACCTAAGAGCTGTGACCCCTTCCATAATAAGAACAAAACATGCCACTGATCAGGCAAACTTCCACTCTCAGTTGAGAAGTTGGGTATACATTGATGCACGGATTGTAAATATTTGTATACATGAACTGTAGGCCAATGCAGCTGTTCGGCCTCAATCTGTACTGCTAATACCACAGGCAATTTGGAGGCTGTAAAAGCAGTAGGACAAAACATAGATTCTAACCAATGTTTCAACTGGATATACCGCCATGCAGCTGCAGCTGGCAGTTTATAATTTTCCACCAGGAGGAAAATGGCTTGTTGTCAGGCCTAGCAAGTAGATCCAAGGTAAAAAACAGTCTGTTCATCCAAATCTGCTACACGTGAGTTTTCCTGCCATCCAGATTTCCCCATAAAATTATTTCTGCAGGTAAAAATTTAAAAAACTGCAAATGACATGAAAATGTGCCATGGCTCTTTAGCTGCTGTAGCTGGAGAAGGTGCATTATCTATTTTAGTATAACAACAGCCAGTGCAATCCATTTGGGAAGAAGATCCAAAAGTGAAGATTCCAGGAGTGAACAGGGAGAGGACTCTAAGTGGAAAAGACCAAATCTAGTGCAAGTCAACAGAGGGGTCTAATGAAATTAAAAAATGGCGAGGGAAGCCAACCCCAATCTCTTTATTCTAAAATTCTATCCTTTTCAATGATATTCATGGAGTGGAACCCCATAAAGTTCACAAAACAAAATGTTAAGTTTCTGGAAATACATGTTAGGTAGAAATAAAGAAATATCACACAGAACGACGTTTCTATGTAGAGAGTTCATTCAAATCTTACATAAGAATAATTTCTTTCCCTGTGTTAAGGTTAGAAGCAAAAATGACAAAACTGCGGCTGTCTACTTTAGGGACATCCTGAGAAGACAAGACTCACTGGAAAAGGCCAAAAGCCAGGGGAAGTCGAAAGCAGAAGACAAAAAGAAGACCAAAGGTGAGATGGACTGACTCCAGCCAGCCACAGCACAAATGCTGACTTCTAGGAAGGCAAGAACCACCCTGCTGGATCAGACCGAAGCCTACCCAGCTCAGCCTTCTGTTTGTTCAGCAGCCACCAGATGCCTTCAGAAAGGAGGACATGAATCCACCCGCTGTTGCTCCCTGGAAACTGGTGCTGAGAGGACTGCTGCCTCTGATGCCAGAAGCGACCGACAGCCACCCAGACTAGTAGCCAACGGCCTGCTGCTAGTCTCTCGTTTTTACTCACTGTGCAGTGCGGGTAGAGGTCAGGTGGCAAGTTTTCTGTTGCCATTTGCACCTCTAAATCCCACAATGGGATAGAGCCAGCGGCTGCAGCGCTGCACCACCTGCCCCGCACCCTTGCCCCAAGGAGAGAGGCTTGGCACCAAGGCGTCAAAGGGCACCAGGGACATGGCCACACTCCTCGATGTTATGGGCCCATGGGGGGGTCCTCCAACCCCACATCATTTTTGATTGTCCTCCCCTGCTTTAGAAACACACGGGCCAGATGATTTCCATACAAGAACTACAAACTTTTCAATTTACTCTAGTTCTCCAAACACAAATTACAGCACTGGATCCAACCGAAAGACAATGCACCTCCTCTGAGTATGACTAAAATGAATCCTGCCCTTATACAAGTAAAAGTAATACTACATTTAAGCAGCCTTTTCTTCCACTGAGCAATGGAACATTTGACAGTTCACATAAGTGTACCAAGGCAAGATATTAAAATGTTCTTGCAATGAAATGGATGTTCCCTGCACTTGCTACACTAACGGCTAATCTCACTTGCTACACTAGCTTTAACCAAAAGAAAACCACTGCGTTCACATTAATGTACTTAACTGTGTCCTTCAGAAGAGTGTTCACACTTCTGTTTAATCAGAAGACTATATCTAGTCTTACTGCCAAAATGGCACTTGCGTTCGACATGACAAGGGACACATTGAGCAAAGTCCTCCAAGTAAATCAAAATTCTCAACTATTCTCTAGAAAGAAAATTGCCCGTCCTTCTGCAGTCAACAGTGCTAATGAGATGGTGCAGAAGGAATTGCCGGGGGTGACCTTGCTCTCCCTGTGTCTGCAGCTGAAACGTTCAAGTTGTGGAATGGCTACTTCCCCAGCAAAGAAGCGACGGTCCAAGTGCAAACTGCTCCCTTGTAGGAGACAGACATATTCCTGCTTAGTTATCTCTCCCCATGACAACAGCAAGCCCGGCTAGTGACTTGCTTCCTGCTCCTTTTGTTCATTTTTATTGGTTCTGGATTTTGCTGGATTGCTTCAGTTATCTTTGTTGTTAGTGCCATTACCTATCACACTCTTCAGAAAGGCAGAACAGTAAATGGCTTCTGGCACCCCCACTGCCTGTCACTGTGAGGGCCCCCGACACTGAGTGGAGAGGCAAACAGTTGCCGCACCTGTGTCGGCAGAGACCAGGTGGGGCCTGCGCCAGCTGGCACAAAGAGCGTCCTCCCGTTGGTGTTGGTTTGGGCACTGGGTGTCCTACTACAGTGACTGTGAGCCTACACAGTAATAATTTTAAAATAAAGTTAAACTCATGTAGGCTTGGGATTATAAAATGCTACAGGGAGCTCTTCAGCTCTCACTGTTACACCAAGAATTGAAAATCTGAACAGCAAATTGAACCAGGAAAGGGGAAAAGGCTGAGCCCCGAGATGCGTAGCCTGTTTTGCATGCAAAAAGCTGGGTTTGGAATGGCAAAATATCAACTCCTGGCAGCTCCAAGGGAGGGCTGGTAAAAGGCTCCTACTTAATACTCTGCAGAGCTCTTGCCAGCCGCTGCAGACAGTCCTGAACTAAAAAAGATCAACGATCTGGCTTGTTTGAGGCAGATGCATTTGCTCCAAAACTACAAGGAGACAAGCAAATTTAGTGAATTAGTCTACAGAGCATGTCAAGCACAAACACCACAAACATCATCTTACAAGACAAAACTATTATAAAGATTTAAAAAGCATATTAAAAGTTTGTAAATTCTTTAAAACTTCACATAGCTTACCATTATTATGCAGCTTGTTTAGTCAAACTAATTTCCCCTTTTCTCCCCATAAACTGAATGCCCCAACTGCAAAAAGAGGCAACCCTCTGCATTCGAAACTAATCATATCCTCAAAAAAACCAATTTAGCTAAAATTGAAACTGGAAAAATGTATCTTTTCCACTTGGTGCTGAAGAAAAGAGGTATCCAGGTAACTCGTAACAATGAAATCAAGACAGTGTAGGTGCTTTCGAGATGCCAACCAGTTCCCCTTTACTCAGCACTGCTTAGGTCTCATCTGGAGTCATGGTCAGTTCTGGGCACTGGTTTAAGAAAGATGCAGGCAAGCCAGAAGAAGCTCAGAGGAGGACAACCTGGACAATGAAAGTCCTATGAAGAGCGATGGAAAGAACTGGGCATGTTTAGCCTCAAGAACAGAAGACTTAAGGGAGATATGATAGTACTATACAAGTATTTGAAAGAGGAAGGACAGGGTCTCTTCTTGATCACCCCAGAGTGCAGGACACGGAATAACAGGCTCAAGTGACAGGAAGTCAGATTCTGGCTGGACGTCAGGAAGAACTTCCTGACTGTTAGAGCAGAGCAACAGTGGAGCCAATGACCTGGGGAGGCAGTGGGCTCCCCCACCCAAGGCATCCAAGGGGCAGCCGGGCAGCCCTCTGAGAGGGGTGGTTTAACTGGGAGTCCCACCCTGAGCAGGGGTTGGACCTGATGGCCCTCTGGCCCCTTCCAGCGCTGCTATTCTACAATTCTATAAATGCACCCATGCTTTCCAGTTTCAATGGATGAGTTTATCTAGTTTTAAATGCTCACCAACGGTCATCTGTTCTAAAATTTTGCTGTGACTGCTATCAATTTCACCATTTGGTAAAATATACTTCTGCAGGTGGTTATAAGTGAAAGGAGAAAAACAAATAACTCAAGCAGAGGCTGGGCAAACAGTGATCAAACACAAAGTACTGCAGGGAGAAGGGAGGGGAAAGTGGGCAGTAAATGTAAGGAAAGGAAGGGTAAAAATCGAACACTGTGCGTGGAGCTCCTGTGCAGAATGCCAGCTTGAATAATCCAGTCCATGCCATCATTCAGCTGGGTGCAGTTCCTGGAACACTGCAACCTTGCAAACTCCTGCAGGACAGCCTATGTTTAGCTTTTTATTTTTTGTAAACTACCCAGAGAGCTTTGTCTATGGACAGTATAGAAATGAAATTAGTAATAGTAATAAAAATACCAACAACTCAGGAGCCCATATGCAAAATCAAGTGGTCTCTCTCACTGGATTTACACAATGAGTGAGTTGAAATCAATGTAATGCTTAAACAAGAGCACTGAAAGATGCAGTAATGATCAGGACATATTTTACACCCCTAAACAATAAACAAAAATCAATGTTTCTATGACTTGTGCAGTAACGTGAAATTCCAAAATTCTCTGAATGTTAGTACGCAGTTACATGCTGCACTCCCTAGTGCGAAACATACAAGAAACAAATGTTTATTTTATAAGATGCAACTTGTGTTCAGTTCAAGGCTAATCATATTCCCAGACAATAAAAATCCTTTTGGTTGGGCAAGGATGAAAACAAACCCTGCATTCATGTTTGCTCCTACCTGCTACATGCCCTCTAAGCCACCTCAGCAATTCCATTTGTCTTACCTGCTTCTTTCAGATTCTTTGGTAGCTTTAGCATCCAACTGTCTGAAACACAAATAGGTCTGGTCAAGAAAGGAAGAGTAAATAACCACACATTAGAGTCACAAACAAATATGCACAGTAGATCAGCAAACTGAAGGATGTGTTTTCATGTATTTGGAGATGAGCAGGAATAAAGACCAAGTGAAAGCACAAAGGAGACTTGTACATAAAACTAGTTGACCAAGGAGAGCTTCCTGCAGCACACAAATTTTGCTAGTAGAGGCAAAGCGGCCCAAGTCCAGTTCCTGGCACAACAAATACTTCCAGGGCTCACAGTAAGCACTGCAGCCCTGCTAACACCCTGCAACAAAGCCCAACTAGAACCCCACAGGGTACCTTGAAGGCCAACTGACCATTTACTGAGGAAGACACTGCTGCAGGCAAGAGCCCACTTTATCTGAGGCATGTAGTAGAGGGCTGGAAAATAAGATGTTCGGGAAATAAGCAAAGCCGGGGAGGAACCCTTCACCAGACCAGCTCAGGACGGTGCCAAAGCCAACGCTTCGAAGCATTCAGAAACCCCACCCTGGAGCCACCGCTCAGCCTGCAAGCGCACCTCCCGGACTGGCCACCGCGTGATGTGCCTGCAAGGGAAGAGCATGCGGGGCCGGGTGGCCGGTCCTTGCAGCATCCTGCTTCTCAGGGAAGCGCCAGGGCCGCAACGCAACGAAGCAGTTCCGAGGACGCTCGGCCCGGGAGCAGAGCCGCAAACAGGGGCGACGCCGCTCGCAGCGCCCGCCCGAGCCCGCCCGCGGCCTGCGGCCTCCCGGCTTCCACGGAGGCCTGCTGCGGGCCGGCGCCGTGAGCACGGGATGCTTCGGCCACCCCGGGGCGCAGCGACGCCGGCCCCACGCCTGCCCGACACGTGCTGCCCGAGCCGGGCGAAGCGCCGCAGGCGAGGCCGCAGCTCGGAGCAGCGCCGCCCCGGGTCGGCCCGCGCCGCGGAGGAGGCCCCGCCGCCCCCGGACGCGCGGCTCTCGCGGCGCCCGGCTGGCCCACAGGCATCGGCCCCCAACCCCCGCGCCC